CAATTCTTGTGCCTTTTAGCATGTATATCGGGATTTATACAATAACTCTGAAAGATATTACAATGATCTTTATTGAAAACACACGAGATAACCAAGTGTGTATACATTCATGGACAAAACTTAAGGAAGTTGTACCTTTTAACATGTATATCGGAATTTAGACATTAAATATGAAAGATATTACAATGATCTTTATTGAAGACAAGACACACGAGATAACCAAGTGTGTATACACTCATGGACAAAACTTAGGGAAGTTGTACCTTTTAACATGTATATCGGGATTGAGACAATAATTCTGAAAGTAATTACAGTGACCTTCATTGAAGACACACAAGATAACCAAGTGTGAACAAAATAATTGCCTCTGTCTTCAAAAAAAAAAAAAATAGATGACCTTCCACTGCTATAAATTTTGTCCATGAGTGTAGATATTTCATATACAAACATCCGGGGTAGAGCTTCAATGTTTGAAAACTAATGTTAAAATCTTTTATAAGCTCTTGATACAAAAATAAATCTTATTGATTAAAAGAGAACTTCAAAATGCATAAAATTATTGTCATTGTTTAGTAATATACACTGAAAATTATTCGAAACGTAAAACCAATTTGAACACACTTTTTATGAACAAATTTCAATGAAACATCTTTATAAAATTATTCCATTCTTATTTATGGAGAATACTTCGATATCTTCCATTTACACATATGCAGAGTTGTTATCTCGTACATAAAAACTGCGTATTTTTATTAATATTTCTTATATTTAATCATTAAAAGATACATTATTTTAAGAAAATGATATAGAATCTTTTGGAGATTTTTGAAGACACTTTTTAAATGTGTCTGGAAGAGATAGTTTTTATTTATTCATTATATCTCATAGACGATATATATATGTAGTATTATAAAGTGGGAAGAGAAATAATCACATCACAAGTTGAAAGAGGGATCTAGACAACCAGGAGAGAGAGACGGGTCCGGCACAGCCGGGCGGCCGTTCGTGTCGCACACAATCCCCAACTGTCTCAAAAGTCCCGAAGTGTTAACTGACGGACCTCAGTGGTCGCCCCTTGGAATGCCGCTGCTGTCTCAAGTGACCGAACTTTACCCTCCCGTCTCTCTCTGGGTTGTCTGTAGGTTGGCTTTATTATTCCTGGAAGAGTATATATTATGACATATATATATTTAATACCCTTTTTCGATATATTTCACAATTATAAATTAATAGAATCCTTCCGAAATATATATATGTCATAAACCCCGGGTAAGACAACAAGTGTGTTGGAAGCAGTCG